AACGTTTCTGTTTTTCTGTGAAAACAACTGTTTTCATACAGAGATAGCTGGACGCTTTTGTCCATTTCCTCGTACGACTTTCTGCGCGAGAGCGCCCTCCGGCTTCGAGTATGAATGAAACATACACTGCATGGAGTGTTTAGCGCTCCGCAATGTTCATCTCGCCTTGATCTGGGTCCGAATAAAACATCAGATCATGCACAGACTATACTGTTTAAATCTATATTTATTCACACCGGCTCTTGAAAACCTCCCGCGTCCCCCGCGTAATCTACACCCCTGAATTAGAGTACATAGAAATCTTTGAAATCAATGTATATTTATCATTACATTTTTAACTTTTATAGACCTCAATAAGACATAACACATCTTGACAGGATTAAATACAACCCCAAATCAGAAAAAGTTTTTTTTTAAATGCAATAACATTTTGTAAAATGCAATAAAATCAAAATCTTATAATACAATCTTAATTCTATTTAACCTTAATTTGATTGACAAAAGTGCAAAGAAAAGATTTTCAATGTTTTCACTGACCAAATAAACTGTAATTCGTAAATATACGCAAATTGGGACAGAGGCACGTTTAACACGGTGTCACATCAACTTTCCTTTTAATTACAATGTTTAATTGTTTGTAAATCGAGGAAACTAATTGTTAAAGTTTTGCAAGCAAAATTTTTGCCCAATCTCGTTTTATACAACACTTCAGTTGCTCATCAGTCTGTGGTCATCATTGCCTGATTGTCCTTTTCATGATGGGCCATACATGTTCAATATAGGAGACAGATCTGGACTGATAGCACATTCACTCTGTCTATGAAACCATGCTGTTGTAGCACATGCAGAATGAGACCTGGTGTTGTCTTGATCTAATAACCATGGACTTCTCATGAAAGACGTCATCTTGATGGCAGTATATGTCTCTGTGCAATGCCAATATAATGCCTCTATGTCAATGGTACCCTCACACATGCCAGACACCCATGCCGTTTGCTCTGATAAACCCCCATACAATGACAAATGTTTGCTTTTGCATCTGTCGCTGGTGAAAGTCTGGATGGTCCCTTTGGTCTTTGGGACTGAGAACTCGACATCCATTTTTCCCAGTGGACTCATCTGACCACAGCACACATTTCCAGTGTCTCTTTGACTATCTGCACTCTTAAAAGAAATGTTTCTATTTAGAACCAGAAATGGTTCTATCACCCGCTTCATATATGGAGATGAGCTCTGGCCCAGAGAACCCGTGGCATCACTGCATAGAACTGATGTATAGCTTTCTGATGAGCCAAACTTGATACCCTCACCTATTACCAATCTACCCTGCTTATAGGCTGTTTCAAAACAGTTTAATTTGGATATTCTATAACCCTTTCACTTTTATTTTGCCTCTCTCCCAACTTTTTTTGGAGTGTGTTGCAACCATCAAAATCAACATTTGTTTATATTTACAAAACATATTTAAGTTGGTCTGTGAAAACTTTGGAAATCTTTTCTTTGTACTTTTGTCAATTAAATAAATGTTAAAGCAAATTAACAAACCACAGATTCTTAATTTCATTGCAAAACGTTTACAAAACTTCCACACTTGTTTTTTTTTCATGATTTGGGGTTGTATATTGCTGTCCATTTAAAATGAAGATACAATTTTATTTGCTTTTTGTAGATAATACAGGTATTATAATATTTCTATAAAGACACACTTATTTACTGTTTAATCCCTTTAAAGAAAAAGACCAATTACCCCCATTTACCAATTAGAAATATAGGGGTTCTTACAAAAAAAAGAGGACCATCGCATCAAGATGTACTTTTGATTGAAGAGAACTGAAGAGAGTGCTTACAGAGGTAAAATAAACATCTCCAAGCAAAAATATTATATTTGTTATTAAATGATTAAACATTGATCTGAAACATCACATGTTGTTCTTGTTGTGATTTTAATTCATGTTAGAATATTTAATAACTATTAAAAAAACGTGTCTATTTTGTATTTTTTTAAGTCATCAAAATAATTGGATCATAATATGAAGGTGTACTTTGATTTTTATTCTTAGCATTTTTTTTCATTGATTTAGTTTTCACAAAACCCAAAACTTATGATTCAGTGAGTTATGATGGCTTTAAGAGCTTTAAGACTACTTCCCACAATATAAAATAAAGCAGTGGCAATTTTTCATTCTTAGCTTTATTCCATGAGCAAGCAGAGTATGAACAGTGCCTTCAAGTGATGACATTTGAAAACAGCAAAATACTGAGTCAACATAAATTAAAATAGGAAAAAAGATACCAGAAAATAAAGATAAACATCTAAACGGACAGAGTGGTTGTTAAAAAAATGGATAAATATATTATATTGTAATGTGGGGTTTGGGTTTGGGTTTTGTTTCATGTTCATGTTTTCATGTCTTTTATTTTGGAGTTTAGTCATGGTCCTTGTTCTGTCATGTTATTCCCTTGTCTCTGTGTTATGTTCTGATTGGTTCTTTGGTTCATGTGTCATGTTCTGATTGGTTGTCCTAGTCATGTGTCTTGTTTCCTTATTAGTTGGTTCCTGTCATGTGACCCTGATTGTTTGCTATAAGTAGCCATCGTGTTGCCTTTGTCGTGTATTGAATGTATTTATCCTGTTGTCGGTGAGTCTAGTCAGTTTATGTTAAGTCTAGTCAGTTCAAGTCAAGTCTTCGGTTGTTTGGATTATGTTTAGATCACTTTGTTTAAATAAATCTGCACTTGGATTCATCACGATGCTCGCCTGCACTGGACTATCATTACAGATATGTATTATAAATATTACTAGTGTTGATATTTTTTGTAAAATTCAGTGAAATGAGCCATTGTGCTTATCATAAGGAAGCCAAAAATCATATCTTTGAGAGACATGAAAAAGTCTTGCATAATAGGAAGAGTCTCAGAATAACTTTTATGTTCCACAGAAGAAAGAAAATCATACAGGGTTGGAACGACATGAAGATGAGTAAATGATTACTTGGTTTTGAAGTTCTTGATTTTGGTGAACTATCCCTTTAAGTAAAATAAAAATACATCCCTTTAAGTAAAATAAAATACAAGACTATAAGCATCTAAATATACTTAAGATATTACTTATTATATTACTGGATTATAAATAAACGTGTTCATCTTTAATTTTTATTACTGTCTAATGCAGCGATGTACTTTTTAACAACGTTGGTGTCATGCCTCTGAGGCGATGTACCCTTCTCAGCAGGGCTGGATTGGGACAAAAAATCGGCCCAGGCATTTTTTGGTCCAGGCGGCCCACCACCATATATATATATATATATGATAGTCAAAAGTTTTTGAACAGTAAGATTTTTTTATGCTTTTTAAAGAAGTCTCCTCTGCTCACCAAGCCTACATTTATTTGATCCAAAATACAGCAAAAGCAGTAATATTGTGAAATATTTTTACTTACTAAAATAACTGTTTTCTATTTGAATATATTTTAAAATGTAATTTATTCCTGTGATTTCAAAGCTGAATTTTTAGCATCATCACTCAAGTCACATGATCCTTCAGAAATCATTCAAATATTCTGATTTGCTGCTCAAAAAAACAACAACAACAAAAAAACATTTATTATTTTTATTATGTTGAAAACAGCGGAGTAGAATTTTTCAGATGATGAATAGAACAGCATTTATCTGAAATGGAAATCTTTTGTAACATTATGAATGTCTTTATCATCACTTTTGATCAATTTAAAAGC